TATCATAATGGCTAAACAAACACGGACTAGATAGGACGAACGCAAGCGCCGTTTTATGAAATTACTTTTAGTATACCGGCTCGCAATTCTGGCCATAAAGGAACATTTAGCCGTCAGGACGGCAACGCCAAGGAAGACGTCGATTGAAACATGAATATCTATTTTTAGTTAGAGTTTCGAAAATGGCTGGATGTGTTTACCGTCTTTAATGGCGCTACAACTTCAGCCTAACGTATATAAGCAGCGTTCAGTTCCATATGGAAATTAAACTAATTTGCCGTCGCGGTTCCCCTACGCAGACGACGCAAATTTTGGCGATTTTACGTTGTTGGTTTGCAGAGGACGGCTAGGAAATGAACAAAAATTTAAAACGCATGTGCTTAGTTAATGTTCTGTCCATTAAATTTTTGTTTTGCCACGTCTTCGTTGCTGTCACCGTCGTGATTTTCTAAAGGTCCCTATTATCAAGCAGACTCCCAAGGTTGCCAACTATCTATTCGAGTAAGTAAATAAGTAAAACGAGGAATATAGAAAAAAGAATTAGATAGATAGATATCGAGTTACAACCGACGTGAGGTTTAACAAACTTTGCGCAACGATTCAAAAGATTTAGAGAAGACAATCTCGCAACCACCTCTTCCTTATGGGAGGTGATGATTTGTAAAACCACCGCACGGTGACATTTGTCATAGTTTTGCACTAAATTCCAATTTGCCATTACTTCAGAGAAAAAGTCTAAGGGTTTTTATGGTTATAAATTGTATCTAACCGCGGACATTCTCTAGAAGGTTCTACTTCATTATTTTCATGTATAGTTGCATTTCGGAGTGTTGGTTTGACAGTGGAAGGAAAACTGGGGCACGAGGAGGAAAACCTTTGGAGTAATGAAAAGAACCCAAAAGATGAAAAACAATGTTACCCGCTAGGTTTAGGAGTCAGACCCGGGCCACAGCGATAGGAGGCGTGTGTTTTTCTCTCCTGCTACATCTCTAAGTCCCTTGGTGTTCTATAACTGAAATGTTGTATGTTTACAAACCTTGGCAATACACTCGAGATATATGTCTTGAAAGACCCCACTTTATGGTAGTCTGTTATAGTCTGCAACACAGCTTCAGAGGAGGCCTAACAGCTAATAAAATCTTGATAAAAGATTTACACATTTAAATATGCTTAACAGTCTTACACTTTTCAAAAATCTACGTCATACCCTAACTATAAATCAGCATGCGTGACTAAGTGCACTACTTTTTAAGCACAATACGGTGGACATAGGCACATTCTGTGATGCACTAGAACATAGTAAATCCCGCTCGACGTATTCAATCCACAAAGGCTTATGCACTGCTCTGGGTAAGAAAGAGATCAAGAGATACATGGGCCAGATCTGATTTTACTCTTCCTCTATAGCTGGTGCTGCCTCACAAATACAATATTATAACGGTGATGATATCAAGTCTGACTACGCCCACACATTTAATTCTGAGATGAAACAAAACAAAACAAAAAAATGGAATGCAGTGGGAGGCAGGTCTTCGTCTTTCTTGTAATGAGTAATGTTGCCACTGTTAATTCAACAAATAACTTACAAATAAAGGCAAATGGTCTAATTTTCAATCAATGGTCAAGTGATGCTCTTTTTCTTGCGTGCTGAAGTTTTTCAATGTCCCAGCGGGTACCGAAAGCCCATTTCAGTTTTTATCCTCGTTGATTTACCCTAATTTTTGGATCTATGTTATTGTATTGCATATTATGTTAGTATCTGTTTGTATTTTATCGTAAATGAAATAAGAATGCTTACTAGCTAACTTCATTTTAAAAGGAATACTTAAACTTGAAGACAGGTTTTCCTTTCTTGTGGTAATTTCTTACCATCAACACCCATTTGTAGATACAGTGTTGAGGCTGGACTTATAATCTTCTTTACCAAGCACTCTATTTCATTCTAATTTTACTTTGCATAAAAATCACAGTAAATATAACAATAATTATATTGGTAATAATAGTAGTATCAATAGTTATAATCCTGACAAATAACCCTTGTTTTTTTTTTTTTTTCTTTAGTGTGAGCTGTACTCTTAAACCCTAAGAGTGACGAGCATCTAATTTATCCTTACAACAATACTGCTGAAACATTAATTTAGGTCACTAGAATATAGGAAATGATTTCCAACCTACGAAGCTTTGATTGTTAAACCAATTCTCTTTGTTAGTACCAAAGAAAATGTGTAAAGAAGAATACGAAGAATATGGATGTTGAAGTCAGGATACAAATTGTTGGGGAAAAAAAAGAGAGTTGATTGTCACAAATATCATTATTACCAAACCAATATCATAAAATGACGGGAAGGAAAGGCGAAAAATTAGCTCAGGAAAGTTAGACACACCCAAGTAGGATACCTTCGGCAGGGAAGTTAACAAAGATCTAAGGATGAATAGAAATAATGTACTCGTCAGTCTTCTTTCCTTCAGCCCATCTGCAACATGGTGTTGAGGATGACGACTGCGACGAACTTTGACGTAAATTGAAATATAGCATACAGATATAACACTGAGAAAGTAGGATAAAAAGTATAAACAACGAAATAGAAATAGGGGGACGGTTGTCAGAAAAGGCGCTTTAATTTTTGAAAGGCAGGCAAAGTAATCCAGTATCCGTTGTTTGTTTCATGACGGATACAGCTAGTTTTAATCCCACGTCCATACCTCAGGAAGGACGTTGGAGGCAGTGAAAGTGGGTATTTGTCCATTTTTCTCACAGAGAAGCTCGTTGCTTTAATTACATTTGCTATATCTGCTCAGAACTTTAGTTTGCTTCGAAAAAGGCGCTGTTAAGTGTTCCTCAATCAGGATTCTATTGAGGAGCATTTCCAAAGCAAGTTTGTTTTAAACTGAGTGTATAAGAACACTTAGTCCTCGAAGAAATGTAAGAACTTCATGTGTACTCTTACGAGTAACTAGCGTATTTAATATAAAACGTAGATGACTCAATTTAACGATTCACGTCGTTTTACTAAAAGAAGAAATCACTCGGTGTAACTTAGCGAAGAAATGGATAATTTCAACGAGAATCGTTAAACCGTAAAAAACCCCCAAAATATTATTTTAAAGATTCCATTTTCCACTAATTTATCGAATTTATCAGAGCGGGCGTCGATGACATATTGGACTCGATGATCTTATTTGCTGTCATCAATAATATGGAAAAAAGAGTTTAAGAACCATTTTTTTGAGATTACGAGAGAAATGATGGGGCATTATTTTCTCTTTTAAAATAAGAGCTACTTCAAAAGAATGAAATGTTTCAAGCTCCTCATGCAAAAGAAATCTGGACCTAACCATGCAACTTTAGCGCATGAATTAAATGCAGACGAATATTTTGAAGATTACTTAACGATAAGTTTCCAAACGTCGTGCTAATATAAACTATATTTGGAAAAGGAATTGCTTTTGAATCTGATGGAACTAGCATTTTCAATATGCTTATTGTTGCCATAGATAAGACTGAGAGTTTCATTAATAACAGTACGATGATAAATTAAATGCATCAATAAAAAAATATTTGAATTTAATTGTCTGGAATTCTTTTTGAAAGACTGGAAATATTAATTCTGAAAAAGCCAAAACGACACGGACTTCCCGCAGAGTTCAGCAAGTTTGATTTGTAAAAACGAACAAATCTAGAAAAAATCTAGAAAAAAAAAGACACATATTCAAAAATACCTCCAAGAAGTAAAGAGAAGCGATCATGACAGATGACAAGCAAGGTCACTGAATTAAGAGATGAAGGTGGAAAGATAAGCTTGAAAGACGGCTAAGATTTTGGGACAAAAAACAACAATGCTATTTAGTCAAGCCTGATATGCTTTTGAAAGTGATGGAGCCAAAACACAAAAGAAAGACTCACTCTACATTGAAGTAAGTACAGTCGACCATTTCAAGACAAACTTGACTGCATTCAACAAATTCCGCGTGCTACGATTAGGGAAGTACTAACGTCACGCTGTAATAAAAGCACAGAGCACTCAAAGTAGCGTCAAAAGTGATAAGTCCTATACTTATCGATTACTAATCGCAACTGCCTGTCTCTTACCAATACAGAAAAGCAATTAAGGGCCGTAAGTTAAGACGACACACCACTTTCGACCTTCTCTCACCTCAATTCATTAAATAAATAAACGTCCAGTTACACTGGGTCCACTTGAGGGAAATTTCAGTGAGATCATATACAACGCTGACATGTTTTGTCCCTGCTTGACGCTCAAGAAGTCATTTATTGAAGCGTAAAATTTGTCGTAAAATCTCTTTCAAAGCTCTAAAAATACTTCTTGTAACAGAGTTGTAAAACCCCCTTTTTTTCTGGTGCGTCTCAAAAGAAAATTTCGAGGTAAAAAGTTAAATTTTGTTATTTTCTCGCTTGAAGGTGCGAAATGCTGATGAGTCTCCGAAGGTGCTCTAGAGTTACAAATCTAAATTTTGATACATTGAATGTACTCCCTCCCTAAACAACTTAATGTCTAAGTAAAGCACATATTATGAGAGAGCAGATTTTGTTGGAAAAGATCTTCGTCTGACATTGTTTTGTCATGGATATCAATGGTTGTGAGAACAACCCTTCCCTCTCTTGGAGGGAAGGTTGTCTAACATTCCAAACCACGGCTGCGAAACTCTGACGAAAGAATTGCCACGTAGAGAAAACTCCCATTCGCTTACTGAAAACTCAGAAAAAGGAAAGGAATCAAATTCTACAAAAAAGCAAGAGCGGCAAAGAAATATTCTGAAGCCATCTCGAAAGGCAGTTACAACGTTAAATAGCGGGGACGTACATCACAAGCGGCACCTTTGTGCCTACCGTCCTTGGCAATATTTCTATTTCAGAAAAATAATTACATTGTACAGCGTACGGAAGAGGAACTGTGGCCACGATTGTAACAATATGCATCACGTGCATGTTAAATTTTACTCTAAAACAATTATTGGTAAGGGATGCAGCAGACATAAGGTGTTGAAAAACCAAAATTCTTTAATTCAATGCCTTAGATACCACACTCACAACAGGTTTCAATTCATATTCTAAATTAAAACTCTCGCTTTTTCCACGGAATGAGAGAGATAAAACGGCTTAAAATAAAAGCTAAAAGAAATGAATAAATTACAATAAAAAGTAAAATAAACCACCAAAAAATGAATTTGTACTCGCCTGTAACTTATAGAGGTATAGTGAGATAAAATTTTGGAAGTAAGTTTACGTAATAACTAAAAATCTGTGTGCAAAAATATATTCAGACAATAAATAATGATCTCCTGTCTAAAAAATATGTGCCCTGACACACTTTACATGGTAAATTCTAGAAGACCTACAACAATTGGCATCACAACGTGTAAAAATACGGCAGCTGCAGTTCCAGTCCCAGAGGCTGATAAGGAAAGAAAAAAATGTTAGAGTTAAA